CTTGCCCAGCCGCTGGACCCCCGGGCCCCCGGGCGGGCCGGTCCACGTGGGGGTCTAAGGTGGAAGTCGCAGGAGGTCAAGGCCAAGGGTGTCCTTAGCCAGGGCCTCTTGTGGCCTGCAGGCCGAGAGGGTCCTTGGTCACTGTGGCGCATGTCAGATCTGCAGGGGAGGCAAGCCCCGCCTCCTTTCCCCGAGCCTGGCAGCCCTGGGCCCCCGGGGGCCGGGCCACACGGAGAGCTCACAGACCAGGATCTGTCTGCGGGGCTGCTTCCCACAGTAGGCCCCGGGAGAGAGATGGGGGGCGCCCGGGGGGCCCCCTTCCTCACCCCGTCTCCGCTCCTCCACCTTCAGCTGCGTGCCAGCTCCTGTCATCTGCTTGAGCGTATTGTGCACGTATATCATTAGATCTCTAACGCTGTCTGTGTAATTCATTTTGCCATGGTTCCCATTGAACACATGTTCCCTCTCTATGTGCATTGAAATGTATGCAAATACGGGCAGAAGGAAGATGGCTATCGGCGGGCGGCGAGAGGCCGAGGCAGGCCGGGCGTGTCTCCGCCCGAGCGGCGCGCATTCCGGGATGCCGGGGCCGTCCACTGGGCCGCAGCTGCCCGAGAGCAATCTCTGTGCGCGCGGTAGATCCCGCATTTTTTTTTCTTTCTTTCTTTTCTCACCTCCAAAGTAAATTTGTTTACTGTAATTTTTTTTGTGTGAATTATTTGCCATAATTGGCTGTGCTGATGAAGGTCACCCCCTTGGAGGAGACTTGTCAGTCTTTAGAGAGCTGATCCTTTTCAAATGCTCTCCATGCAATTAAGAAAAGCAAATGTCATTCGGAAGCCTCAGAAATGAAAATTTGTATGAACTTATTAGCATGAAGTCAACAGCGCTAGTTAAGGGCGGGTTCCCAGTGTGTGCTCTGCGCTCCTGCTGCAGAGGGAGATGCTCGCGGAATGAGCAAATATAACCCCCGCTAGTCCAACATTAGAGCAAACAAAGGAAGGTGGCATGTCGGCGGTCTGCTCGACAACAATAGCTAATGGTGATTAACTAGACGGTGTCTGCAAAGTGCTGCCTCTGACCCGGCAGGGGAACCGTGCACGCAGGCTTCCGGAAAACGCCCGCTTAGGAAGACGTGCAGCCACGTCTGACCCGGAGTCTAAAAAGATGATTTATCTGAAACCGAGCTACATGGGGGCTCAGATGAGATGAGTGGTCGGATCAGGCCCCACCGTGTCCTTGGGAGGGCGCCTGTCTGCACACACCGCCCGGGGAGCGAGCAGGAACTCGCTTGGCCCTGGGGAAGCCACTTTCTGTTTACCAAGACTGGTTACTCCTTCTTGGGCAGATGTCCTCAGAGGTTGTTGGGAGCAATGGAAGACTACCCAAATGGGTTGAGTTCCTCCATCTATGGCTCTCTTTGCACCCATTCCTCCATGAACCCGGGAGGGAGAAGGGATGACCCTTGGGTGGCCCAGGCCTGCTGTGGAGAACGGAGGCCTGGACCACCTCCAGACAGCATTAGGCAGACATCTGACAAATCTTAGGGGCTACCTAGCACCCATCCCACAGGCCTACACAGCTGTTCTTTGTATACCAAAGGTAGGGAGTTAGAGTGAGTGGGCCCAGGGTCTGGAGGATGGTGCCCCAGCCAAGCAGAGAAGGCCCTGCAAGGGACAGTGATGGGCAGGAAGCCTGTGGCTAAGGAGCCCCTGCTTTGCAGGGGGCCTGCCTACAAAAGGCCATCAAAGGCAGTAGACAGTCTGCCAATACCTGGTAGAGGGGCTGATCACAGGCCGGAACAAAGCCGGCCTCTAGGAGGCTGCAGCCTTCGTTCCCGGTCCGGCCTCCACACAGGGCAGCTGGGAGCACCTTGCTGGGCCTCCTGCCTGCCTCCCTGGGCTGTGGCCTCC